GTTTAAAATTAATCCAAGTATTCATGCTTTTGGGTCCTAGACTACCCGGACAATAGCATACTAGTAGCTACGCACGGACTCTCGTCACCTCGTGCATACGTAGCCCCCACAAATAGGAGCACATAACCAATTAATTCACCTATGGGGACATTTCCCCCTCACAAAGGTAGAAAGGAGACTCACCTCGCTTCGAAGACTCACAACCGGCATTCCACGCCCTTTCGAAGGCTCCAATTGTTGCACCGCGCTCCAAGACTAGCCAACGGTTATGCAAATCCATTAATATATGTCCAAATATTCATAGCAAACTAATTTATAGCAATTCCTAACTCCGATTGAAAAGTTGACCAAAACGCCCTCAGGCCCACGTGCCCGGAATCCAAAAAATTTTCGAAGATAAAGTTTACCCATGGCTTTACTAGCTCAAATATATAATTTACTCCTAAATTCATGCTCAAATTCGTGGCTAAATTCCAAGAATATAATTTTCCAGGTTTCTACCAAAAACCTCTATTTTCTACAATTTCCCAAGCCTAAATCCATACATAGGTTGGGATAACTTACCTTAACATAGATGACGAAAATCCCCTCTTTGAAGCTCCCCAAAATCGCCCAAGCCTTGAAAAATGAAGGAGAAATGACCCAAATCCGACTTTAAAACAACCCCTCTGTCTCCAGCACTTTTCGCACCTGCGGTCCTTTGACCGCTTCTGCGGTTCCGCAGGTGCAGTCCCCAAGCCGCTTCTGCTATCCTCCCAGGCCTCCCCAGCTTCCGCCTCTGCGACCCCATCTCCGCAGATGCAGTCCCGCTTCTACGGAACCTTGACCGCATCTGCGGTCCTCAAGCCATTGACCAAACCCGCTTCTGCGGCTCCCTTTCCGCTTCTGCGGGACCGCTTCTGCGGTCAACCCGCCGCAGAAGCGAAAATACCAGCAACCAGATTCTTCAGCTATCCAAAAATTTCATTTTCAATCCGTTAACCACCCGGAATCCACCCGAGGCCCCCCGGGACCCCAACCAATCATACCAACCAATCCCAAAACAAATTACGGACTTGCTCGAGGCCTCAAATCACATCAACAACGCTAAAATCATGAATCAACCCCCAATCCAAGCTTTATGAACTTTAGACCTCAAATTTTGCACACAAGTCATATTTGACATTACGGACCTACTCCAACTTTCGGAATTGGATTCCGACCCCGATATCAAAAAGTCAACCTCCGGTCAAACTTCTCAAAAACCTTCAAATTTCTATCTTTTGCCAAATGGCTCCAAAATGACCAACGGACCTCCGAATTCACTTCCGATCGCGCTCCCAACTCCAGAATCACCATACGGAGCTATTCACAGTCTCGGAATCCCAAACGGATATCGATAACACTGAAATGCACTTCAAGCCAAACTTATGAAATTCCTCCTAAAATGCTAACTTCCACAATAGGCGCCAAAACGCTCCCGGGTTATCCAAAACCCGAACCGGGCATACGCCCAAGTCCAAAATCATCATACGAATCTGCTGGAACCTTCAGATCATGATTTCGAGGTCGTTACTCAAAAATCCAATCCCAGTTCGTTCTTTTAACTTTAAGCTTCTGAAATGAGAATTCTCTTTCTAAATCAACTATAAACCTCCCGGAACTTAATTCCGACCACGTGTAAAAGTCATAATACCTGAAATGAAGCGGTTCATGGCCCCCGACTGCTAAACGGAGCGCTAGGACTCAAAACGACCGGTCGGGTCGTTACAATACCAAAACAGCAAATGATGTTGGAGTGCATGAAGTCCACCACAGCTTTCTTTGTGACAGCTTTGAGAGTGATTGCTTCAACCCATTTTGTGAAGTAGTCGATGGCAACTAGTATGAATCTGTGCCCATTTGAAGCTTTTGGCTCGATTGGCCCAATGATATCCATACCCCAAGCGACGAACGGCCATGGGGCCGACATAGGATGCAGTTCTGAAGGAGGTACATGAATCAAGTCATCGTGTAACTGACACTGATGCCATTTTCAGACGAAGCTGAAGCAACCCTTTTCCATGGTGATCCAGTAATACCCTGCTCGAAGGATTTTCTTTGCAAGGACGTGTCCATTCATATGCGACCCAGATACTCCTGCGTGTACTTCATTCATGATTCTTCCGGCCTCTTGGGCATCCACACATCTCAAAAGGTTCAAATCTGGAGTTCTTTTGTCCAAAACTTCTCCGCTCAAGAAGAAACCACCGGCGATCCTTCTAATGGTTCTCTTTTGATCTCCATTGGCTTGCTCGGGATATTCCTTTGTTTTCAGAAACATCTTGATATCATGGTACCATGGCTGAACACTTGGTTCTACCTCAATTGTATTGCAATACCCATGCTTTTCTCAGATTTGAATTTCCAACGGGTCAATGTGGATATTGCCTGGATATGGCAACATCGAGGCCAAGGTAGCGAGTGCATCGGCTAACTCATTGTGAAACCGAGGGACGTACCTGAACTCAACGGATTTGAACCGTTTGCTAAGATCTTCCACATGTTGCCTGTATGGTATAAGCTTGACATCCCGAGTTTCCCATTCTCCTTGATCCTGTCGGATAATCAAATCTAAATCTCCCATGATTACCAATTCTCTCACATCTTGATCAACTGGCATATTCATGCCCATAATGCAGGCTTCATACTCGGCAGTGTTGTTTGTGCAGAAAACCCAATATCGGGCTGTGGCTAGATAGTGCTGACCAGTAGGTGAGATCAAAATTGCCCCAATCCCGACACCATTTGTGTTTACCGCTCCATCGAAGAACATTTTCCAAGCATTAGCGTCTTCCGAAATTACCTCAACTGAATTCACTTCCTCGTCCGGAAAGTAAGTACTCAAAGGCTGATACTCATCATCAACAGTGTTTTCAGCTAAGTGATCCGCTAGAGCTTGAGCTTTCATTGTCGTGCGAGTGACATAGACTATGTCGAACTCAGTGAGCAGGATTTTCCATTTTGCCAACCTCCCCGTGGGTATCGGCTTCTGGAATATGTACTTTAAAGGATCCAACTTGGTGATGAGGTAGGTGGTACAAGCCAACAAGTAATGCCTAAGCTTCTAAGCGACCCAAGTTAGGGCGCAGCAAGTCCTTTCCAACAAGGTGTATTTGGCTTCATAACTTGTGAACTTTTTGCTCAGATAGTAGATTGCTTGCTCTTTCTTCCCGGTCACATCATGTTGCCCAAGGACACAGCCAAAAGAATTCTCCAAGACTGTCAGGTACGAAAATAAAGTCCTCCCAGGTTCGGGTGGGACGAAGACTGGCGGGTTTGACAGATATTCTTTGATTTTGTCAAAAGCTTCTTGACACTCATCTGTCCATTTGATCGATGCATCTTTCTTCAATAGCTTAAATATGGGTTCACATGTGGAAGTCAACTGAGCAATGAACCGACTGATGTAATTCAACCCTCCCAACAAGCTCATAACCTCTTTCTTGGTTCTTGGAGGATGTGGATGTTTGGCAGGGGAAAGTTGTCCTTAGGGCTTGCTTTGTTCATATCCCGATAGTCAACACACTCGGGTTTTCCCGTCTTTCTTTGGCACTGGGACCACATTAGCCGACCATGTGGTGCATCGGACCACTCTGATCACACCCGCTTTCAATTGCTTGGTGACCTCTTCATTGATCTTGTCACTAATGTCAGTTTTAAACTTTCTTTGTTTCTGCTGGACAGGGGGACAATCGGGGTAAGTTGGCAATTTGTGCACCACTAGATCAACACTTAGTCCTGGCATATCATCGTAAGACCAAGAAAACACATCTTTGAATTAAAACAAAAGTTGGATCAATGCATCCCTAGTTCTTTCATCTGTGTGAATGCTTATCATGGTTTCTTGGACCTCTTCTGAACTACCCAAATTTACTGGCTCGGTTTCATTTAGATTTGTCTTAGGCTTATTCTCAAATCGTTCCAATTCTCGATTTATTTCTGTAAAAGCCTCTTCTTCATCTATTCCGGTTCTTGATTCATTATTTCACAATTAGACAGCGTGTTTGGATCTGGGCATGAAGTCCGCAAGCATGTCATATTATTTAAAGCCGCATTATTAGAACTGAAAGAAGAAATAAGAAAAAGTAACAAATATCAGAAAGAATAAAGAGAGAGATGAACGATGAAATATTGATTTCATTTCATTGAATTTTGAAGATAACATGGTTTACATTGGAATATAAAGACAGTAAACTAAAGGAAATATCCGAGTTACACCCTGGAATAACTCGTGATGTAGAAAAGGTGGCAAGACTGCACTATCGGGATTCCCGCCTGACTGGGAATAAAGTAGCCTTCCAGCTTTGCAACTTAGCATCGGGCCCCATATACAGCACCTCAGCGGTGCTCGAGCCTTCTCCCGGCTGGACTATGTGGGTTTCATACAACATCTGCCTCATAGCTCCACATATTTCTTCAATCTCCTCGGCCGTGAAGGCCTCATCTTCCTCTTCTTTGTACTTGGGCTTGACGAATGTTTCAAATAGATGCGGGATTGGCTGAGGTAAGACCCAACCATTGTTCTTCCGCTCATTTGCCCATGTTTCATCAGCCGGCGTGACCTAAAAGCCCACACCAAAGAACTTCTCGCTAGCATCCAGAGTAATAGGTTATGTGATTCCTTGCAATGATGTCCCGAGCCCTTTTCCGGGTTTATATCCATGCCTGATCATTTCCTTGGCAACCATAATTGACGCATTTGAGAGAAAGGGTTGAGGACACGGGCTTCCTTCTTCACATTGGTCTGCGACCACAACCTCGAAGGCTTGATAGACTATATGTTCACTACCTTCCCTTGCTTCGAGACATGGGACTGACGGGTCCCGATAAATTGATTGCTCGTCCTCTCTGTGGACTACGATCTCTTGATCTTTATATTCAAATTTCACCATCTGGTGGAGAGTGGAAGGTACGGCCCCCGCCGCATGAATCCAAGGCCTTCCCAAGAGGAAATTATAAGAAGTGTCCATGTCTAGGACCTACAATGTCACCTCGAAATCCACAGGACCAATAGTCAAAATCAGATCGATCCCGCCTATGGTGTCTCTCTTGATGCAATCAAAAGCACGCACGCAGACATTGTTAGGCCTGATTCTCTCCGTTTCAATCTCCATTCTTTGCAAAGTTGAGAGAGGACAGATATCAACTCCGGATCCGCCATCCAGCATGACCCTTTTCACATAGAACCCCTCACATTTAACTGTTAGATGAAGGGCTTTGTTGTGGGCAGCCCCTTCAGGAGGCAAATCATTCTTGCTAAACGAGATATGGTTGATTGCGAAAAATCTTTCTGCCATCCTCTCTAGTTGTTCAACAGTGGTTTCAATCGGAACATAAGCCTCATTGAGGGTCTTTATCAACACTTTCTGATGCTCGGTTGAGCTCACCAGTAGGGATAGGAGTGAGACCTGTGAAGGAGACTTCCGGAGTTGGTCTATAACCTCGTAGTCTGCAGTTTTCATTTTATAGAAGAATTCTTCGGCCTCCTCAACACTAACAGGCTTCTTTAGTGGGAACCGCTTCTTCCTGGCGTTTTTCAAATCCTCCAAGTTAATGTATTTCTCAGCTGGGCTAGTTTCATTTGCTCCCCCTAAGACCTCTTTTCCCTTGTATGTCACTACCGCTCTCTTGTAATTCCATGGGACGGCAGTGGGGTCTGTCATGGGTTTCTGCGGTGCGTGGCCAATAACCACGGGCTCATTTAGCCTTGGTGAAATTACTGAGCCCCGTACCACATAGGTCCCTTTAGGCATGTACATTTTAGGTCCCCTGTTCAGCTCGAACCTTTTTGGAGGGCTCAATGTTGTTTGTTCTTTCCTGTGACCCCGGAGAACATAAAGAATGGCATCTTTTGGGGGGACTGCCCCAGTTTTGGTTTCCACATTCTTTTTTGCACTTTGAGGGGTGGAGTTACTCTTTTTCTCTCCCTTTCCTTGCTTTGCAACCGCCCTCAGCTTCTTTTCAACATCGATGATGGAAATGATGGCTTTCAGGGCCGAGTCAAACTCCTTATCTTCACAAATCATGCCAATAACTGGCCCGTCGTTGTGGGCCTGCAATGGGTTGTTGGTCACACTGGGGATTTCATCATCTTTCAATACCACCCTTTTTTGCTCTATTAAGTTTTCGATTTCCCTTTTGAGAGTCCAACAGTCTTCAGTGTCATGCCCTTCCGCTCCCGAATGGTAGGCACATCGAGCACCGGGTTGGTAAGAGGGCAACTTTGGGTTTTGCCTGGTTTGGGGTACGGGTTGCAGTAAACCCATTTGGACCAGTTTGGGGAAAAGGCTAGAGTATGACTCACCAATAGGCGTGAAATTTATTCTCCTGGGTGGCTCCCTAGCACGGGCACTGTAGGGGAAATTATTTTGTGGAGGTCAGGGATTATACTGAGCTTGGTGGGGAGAGTTATTTCTAGGAGGTGGAGCTCTATTTTGGTTAAACTGTTATTGTGGCCGAGCGTATGGCTGGGCGTTCATCACTGCGTACGGTTGGGGGCCATAACATAAGCCATATCCTGGTGGGGATAATAATGTTGTGGGGGGCTTGGAGAGAAGTAATTTCTGGGTGGTCGGGGGTTTCTCGGACCTGATACCGCCATTGCCGCTTCTTCCTTTTTCTTTCTGTTCACTACACCTTCGGACCCGCTTTGAATTGCTTGGGACGTAGCTTTTATGGCAGATTGAATCAATATGCGCCCTGTTTTTAGACTGTTCTCTACCATCTCACCAATCTTGATGGCCTCAGCGAACGGTTTCCCCATTGCAGACATCATATTCTGAAAGTAGTCAGCCTCTTGGGCTTGTAGAAAAACACTCACCATTTCTGTTTCATCCATCGGGGGCTTGACCCTGGCCGCTTGTTCGCGCCATTTAACAGCGTATTCCCGAAAACTTTCCGATGACTTCTTCTTGAGATTCGACAGAGAATTCCTGTCGGGAGCTATGTCTATGTCATACTGAAATTGCCTGACGAAATCTCGAGCTAGATCATCCCAAATGTGCCAACGGGGTATATCCTGATCCATGTACCACTCGGATGCTATGCCCACTAGACTCTCTCCAAAATAAGCCATGAGAAGATCCTCTTTTCCACCTGCTCCTCTCAGTTGATTGCAGTACCTCTTGAGGTGGGTGATGGGATCCCCATGCCCATCGTACTTCTCGAACTTGGGAGTTTTAAAACCCAGGGGTAGGTGGACATGTGGAAACATACACAAATCAACGTAGGATACGCTCTTTTGACCACTTAAGGCTTGTATATTCTTAAGGCTCTGTTCCATGCTCCCATCTTCCGATTGATTTCTTCCTGCTCGGGGTTGTTTATAGTTTTCTCCTGTCCCGCAGTAAACTCATACCGGGACTGTTGGGGGTAGGAATTGGTAGTGAACTTGGCCGTTTCTGGTGGGAAGGATGGTACTTGAAAAGTGAAGGATGATGGGTCAAAGTTTGGCCTTGGCAAAGTGGGTGGTGCGGTGGCTGAAGAAGGTGGCGCAGAGAATATATTGGAGGCCACGCCTAAAATCAACACCTGGGGGCGAACCTCAGAAGGTGTTCCGGCAAAGTGGGCTGAGATGGTAGGATATCCAAGCGGAGTGTTTGGGTAGTTTATTGGGATATTAGAAGTTCCACTTGCCCTGGGAAGTAGCTCAGGAAAACCAGGTATCGTACTCGGTGGCTCCCTACCATTGGACCAGGCGTCCCATATTTCCAACATGCGGAGACGCAGAACCCTGTTTTCCTCAGCAGCGGCTGACTCTGAAGTTGGGATGGTCGAGATCGGGCTATCCTCTAGGATAGAACTGTTGGTAGATGACCCTCAGATGACATTTCAACACTTCCTTTTGATCTTGTGAAGTAGGGATGTGAAGCCAGATTACCACAAAACCGACCACCTTAATATTGAACCTACTCAATAGCAAACACAACGAACCGGTTAGTGTGAGACAATTAACACATAGGGAATCGCACAATGGGGTGTGGTGCACCTATACAGTTAAATGTTTTTCTATATGCTTGCAACGGTTGCTTGTTTCATCCCAGCTTTCGTTTATCTCTCCAACTTTCTTTCTTTTGGCGCTTTTTAACTTTTGCTCTCTTTTGCACTTTGTCATCATTTTTCCCCCTTACTCTTGTTTTTCTCTCTTTTTCTTGTTTTCTTTCTTTTCCTTTTTATTCGAATTATTTAAAAACATGACAGGATTCGATTAGGATTGCCTACGTATCACGACGTCACGTGAATCAGATCATCACGTAGTTCAAGAAATAAATGCAAAAATAAAGACAATTTTTTGTGGCTTTTCCAAATTTTCATTAATAAAAACTTCTACTTTTCTTTGTTACAAAAGACTCCATCCTACTTTTCTAGGAATTTAAAAACTAAAAACAGACTCGAAACATACTTCAAAACTAGAAACTGAAATACAGACTCAAAACGAAAATGAAGAGTATATAAGTGCTTCTAAAGTTGATCCAAGGGCCCGCGGGACATCAGTCGGTCTCGCCACGGGCCTGTGTGCAAGGTCTCCTTGAAGACGATCTAGGTCATTCATGATTTGTCGAACAAAGGTCATCAATGCGGAGAAAAAGGTGGTTTGAGTCATGTCTTCACATTCATGGCACTTTGTGACGATGTAGTCAGCAATTGCTCTAACCCTTTCCCTGATGATACCCTTTTCTTGGAGTAGACGCCCCATTTGTTGAGATCTAGCTTCTAGCACTTGGGCATCATGATGGTTTTGACCCTGCAGTTGTTGGATGTCTTCTTCTAGCTGGGACATTAACGCATAACAATGTTCCCTTTCTGCCTTAAAGTTCCTAGCTTGTTTGGCCATCTCATTTTCGAGGGAAGTTAGCCTTTTCTTCAAGTTTGTAACTTCTCCCTCATATTTCCTTTTCAACTGTCGGACAAACTCTGCTCGCCTCTCTGCGTTCTTCGCCAACTGTGCCTGGGCCTTTGCCAAATCATCCTCGTACTCAGATACTTTCCTCCTGGCACCATTTATTAGTCTTTCATCTACTCTGCTTCTTACTTGGTTTTCGGCCGCTATTCTCATTTTCTGAATTTGGGCTCAGAGGGCTTCATTCTTTTGGGTTAACTTTTTCTTCTCACCCTCGTCTGCGGCAGCTAGCACATCACTATCAAACTTGAGATCCCTGATTTGTCCTTCCAGCCTACCTATGGTGGCTCGGTATTCATTTTCTTTTGTCAACCACTCCCACTGTTCTTGTGAAGCTTCAACAAATTCTTGGAGGTGGGGTCTTTTAGCTGGCCTTCCGAACTCAACTTCCCTTTTGTACCAAGCGAGGTAACCAGATGAGACTTCACCTTTGGACAGATCTCGTACACGGGTATTCGCCATCAGATATTGACACTCACTCCAGATCTGGCGAACCCCTGCTTCATGGAATTGACCATCAGAACGAATCTCGACTGCGTGGATGCTGAGGTCTTCATCTTTGGGCACTATTTGACATCTCCCTAGTTGCCTCAAAACCCGATTCGGGGCATAAGGCTAGATACTTCTGACACCCATCAGGAGGAAGTGGGGACCAGAGGCTGGCATGTATATGATTTCATCAACAGAAAGCCACCCCAACGTCCACTCTATCTGATTTGCTGTGATAGAGCGGAGGCAAGATATCCATTCTGCGACCCCCTCTGGCATTTTGAAACCGTCGACCCTTGTATAGAATTCCTCTATGCAACTTTCTCCTGTCGGCCCATAATTCATGTACCGAGGACGATGACATAGGTGCTCGATCATCCACATTTGTAACAATAAGTTGCACCCCTCAAAAAAGTCAACTCCGGCCTTGCAGGCAGTGAGGGCTTGAATAATTCCGACACTATCATGGGTGCAAGGGTTATTTTGGCATTGGTAAGCAAGGTGTTGACGACCCCGGCTATTCATATATCGATATTTCCGTCCTTTCTAGGAAACACTAGCAGACCCAAAAATGCCACCATGAAAGCGACACATCTGTGCTCTTCCTATTTCAGTCGATTCCCCTTACTGCAAATTTTGCTTTCTGGATTGTTGAACCCCCTATGTGCCCATATCGCTGGTATATGAACTGTGGAGTGGAAAACCCGGCTGCCAAATTTGGGTATTGGACCCCCTGCTTATCTTCAGCAAATCTAAAAATTTGTGCGGAGTGACAGCTCTTGGAGCGACCAAATATTTGTGTCTCAGAGCTTCAGTATTCCCAATATACCCGGCCATCTCTTCCAAGGTGGGCGTGAGTTCAAAGTTCGAGAAATGAAACACATTGTGAGCGGGATCCCAAAATATAACCAAGGCTTTTATTATGTCTCCCCTAGGATTAATTTTCAATAAACCGGTGAGACCCCTCAAGTGATGATTGACCACATCTCGTCCTGATTCACCCAGATCTTGCCACCACATGTACATCTCCAAAGGAATTTTGGTCATGACCTTCATTGGCAGATTTTGATTTGTTCTCATTCTGCACATTTAAATTTAGGCGATTGGTTTAAAACGAAGTGATTTTTTTTTTTTACAAAAGAGGTCAATTTTGCAAATTTTAGACAACACGGCTACTTTTTGCAAATACAGCCCTTCAGCACTTCGCAAAGGAGGATTTTAGGGCTGTGCTTGCTAAGTAGCAAAAATTCACTAAAAAATCTTAGGTGGCTATTATTGCAAAAACAGCCTTCCGACGCCCTTATGGGGACGTTTTGACTATTTAGACAAGAATGGCATCACCTAACTTATTTATGATAAAATAACAACATATTTTTTCTTTTTGGGTTATTTTTGCAAAAATGGAGTTGGACCCGGTGAGGGTTGCCTACGTATCCCATATCCGATGAGAATCAAACTTGCGTAGTTCGGGCAGTTTTGTCATAATAAAATAAAGAAAAGACATGAAACCATTTTCTTTTTTCCTTTTTTTTCAAAATTTTGGCAGAGTTTCAGCATATTTTGGGCACCAGGTTTTTTCAAAGGCGGGTAATTATCTCTCTCATACCAAAATTTCATTTTTCCCAATTTCCTCCCTATTCTAGCAACCGATCAACATGCAAACCGAAGCAAATAATTGTACAAGTAGCACGTAAAAATGCATCAGGATGGTCTTTTGATTCTGGGGTCCACCTGTCCTAGACAGACCCAACCCCTGTGTTGAGTCCTCTAAGTCAAATGCACATGATGCAAACAAATGTTCCTACTAGGGATCCGGCATGAGGCTGAGTTATTCTAAGTTTAAAACCTGGGTATATTGTTCTAGACTTGGTGTACCCG